AGAGGAAAGTAATGTTTTTAAGTAAACAGCTCCTGGCAGCTCCTTCTTCCAGTCTACATTATTCAGATATCATCATTTCCCTCCCTTTCTTTCCTTTTGTTTGGAATGTTTTTCCAGGATCTTTTCGATGAGTTACATGAACAACAGCCCTGGGTTATCCCGATTTTTTTCCCTACTGAAGCTTCTAGATTCTGAAGCATGGGTCACTTTTATTAAGTGACTTGATTTATTCAGTGGTGTTGTGTTGAATGCAGTCTCCCCAAACATTTCCAGAAAACCTTGTTGATAAGACCAGGCTACAAGGCTGTTTTTGCTTACTGCAGATAAGAAATGCACTGTCACGACAGAGAATTTATAGCATCTCAGAGTGGGAAGGACAAAGCGAGGATATTTACTGAGACTTTGAAGTCTGGATGAAGGTGCACCTTTTATTGTGAGAGGAGGGGATATGAATAGGTTAGGGTAGACTAGGAATCCTTATATTACAGTTGGGGGTTGGTGGAAACAGCAAGGAGGAGATTTTGAGGTCCAAGGTTCAAAGTGTCTTAGGGTATAATTGTCCTTTGATGCTTTTTATCAGAGAGTTGGTTGGTTTTTCAGGAAGTTCCTGGAATAAGCAAAAAAGTTATTTGCTAATTTGTCTTCCTGGGCAAGTGTTTTCTGGAATAGCAAGTTATGTTGATAAGACAGTAGAATAGTAGTCATATGGAAAGTTTTGTGGTGTGATGGATTTAGTTTTCAGGTATTTCTACTTACTAGCATTGTGATATCATGGGCCTTGTCTGCTCATTAACTCAAGGGCACATGTCCAGTCTAGGTAACAGGAGTGGTGACCACGGCCAGGAGTAAACTGAGACAAGTGCCCAGGGCACAAAATTTAAGGCTCACTCACTCTCAGGATCACAGCCCTGCTGGCTGCATGTGACCTTGGACCCCTGAAAGGGATGAGGAAGAAGAGGCAGAAGAAGGAAACGAACATTTGTAGAGCTCTACCATCTATCACCATATGCTTAAGGACCTTCATATCACTACTGAAAGGCTGTAGAGTGTGCCGAATCAGAGAGCAGATTCTTGGGCTAGCCTTCCTGGATTCAAATCCTGGCTATGTCAGATAGTAGCTGTGTGACCTTGGGCAAGTGGGCTAATCTCTGTGTGCCTCATTTTCCACACCTGTAAAATGGGGATGATAGTACCTACTTCAGAGGCTAGTAAGGATTAAATAAGTTCATACAAGTAACCCAGCATATAGTGGGCATTTGCCTGTGTTGTAACAACCATGTAAGGATGTTATTCCCATCTTATAAATAAAGAGTTGAATGCTTGGTAAATAAGTTCATACAAGTAACCCAGCATATAGTGGGCATTTGCCTGTGTTGTAACAACCATGGAAGGATGTTATTCCCATCTTATAAATAAAGAGTTGAATGCTTGGGAAGGAGGACTTACCCTATGCAAACTGCCGTGGTGGGATTGAGTGCTTTCCACTATACCATGGTACCCCATGCCTGTTTGGAGTTGGCTTTGCTCTGTCCCAATATGGCCACAAGAAAATTGCATCTGTCCATCTATCCATCCATCTGTCCAGTTATTTAAAGTCTTCTCTTAAGTTGCTGCAACTTCACACTCCGCATAAAATTTCTAAGTCCATGGAGACTAGCCATTAATAACTTCAACTTGAATGCTTTATTAGCTCTCTTGTTCACCAGTGGCCGTCCAGCAAAGCCAAGAGCAGCCTCCATCCTTCCCCAATTTCATCATCAATAGATTGAACATGCCAGGTGATAAGCAAAAGAATCTGCTCTGACCAGGTCAGCTAAATTATAGTGCCTTGGGAGATCTGGGACAAGTCACTAACTATGTCCACTGGTCTTGGGAAACGTTATCATAAGACCATTTTACTTAGAAGCAGTCATAACAGTGCAAGAATGCCATAAAATAACCTAGAACTCTACTTATTACCCTTACCCTAGATCCCTGCATGAAGGACATAACCTAGTAACAATCCCAAATCTATACATCATGTACAACCAATAGAAAGCCTGATGAAGTAATTAGGTGAGGCTGTCTTCCGCTCTCTTTCCTTTGACCCTTCATTCTTCTTGTGATTATAAAGTGTTAAGCTCTGCTGGCCCTCTTTGGAACACATTTTCAGAGCAACCTGATCTATGTGTCTCCCCAGTTGCACTCATTGTATTGACTCAACAAATCCTTGCTATATGTATTTTGCCTCCGTTTCTTTTTAGGTCAACACAGGCACATTTCCACTTGGTGCCTTTCCACTTACTGTTTGCCCTTTCTGGAATGGCTTTCCCCCAAATACTCACCTCCTTCAGATATTATGTCACCTCCTTAGTGAGATCTTCCTTGAGTACTTTTTCTGAAATTGCCCCCTCCCCATTTCCCATCCTTCTACTCTGTTTTATTTTTTTCCCCCTTAGCATCATCATTATCAAACATGCAATGTAGTTTACTTATTTATCTTGTTTTTTTATATCTTCCCAAAGAGAATACGAAGCTACACAAGAGAAGGGATTTTTGTATGTTTCATCCCCAGCACTGTGTGGGCACTTTGCGAATAATTTTAGAATAAATGAATTAGCTTTGTGGATTATAATGGAGGGAGTTTTTACTGCTGAAGGTTGAAGACTTTTTGCATTTCCTATGCCTCAGAATTGTCATATAATTGTAGGGTATTTAGAGGACATGGTGTTACTTTGAGTTGTATCATTAATAGCATCCATAGGGAATTTTTTACCCCAATTCAAGGGAAGGACACACTGCTCTGGCAACAATATTTGGTCACTCTAGCTACCATTCGCAAAGGCTGGGAGCTTTTAAAATGCTATTTATGCTGTTTGTAAAGCTGGAAGTTGAAGACATTTAGGGTTTTGCACACCAGCAAGCACAATCTTGGAATAACAGCATAACATACATACTAACACGTAAACTAATGCATAATGTTACATGCCTACAATGAATATTTAAAACAAATGCTTTAAAAAAGTGTGCTTAGGCTTCTAATATGAATTGTCATGTTTCTGACTTTATTCTATGTCCATACCTTCTTGATTTTGTTATATGGTACATTCTGTACTCATCAGACCCGCTCAAACCAGCCTCATTTAGATTTTGAAAGAGATGTTGCCTCTCAGATATACTGCAGCCCATGTGATATGTCCCTAAAAGGTTCTTGTGCCAACTCCTTTCGGCTTGTTTTCTGAAACACATGGTCCATGCTTGAAGGTAAAAGAGGTTACGCATCCTAGGTTACTTCTCACCTATGCATGTTTTTTTAGAAATCCCTCTGTGGTCCATATTTACTTCCAATTTGTCAGAGCAAATATGGTGATTCATGCAGGTTCTGTTTTGGTGGTGCACAACAAACCCTGATTTTGAGAGGCTTCCAAGGCCCAAGACCTCATGCCTCTGAAGTCTCATGGATACGTAGCACTCTCTGATGGATATTCTATTTTAAATTTGTTTCTTTCCTCAGTTCAACCACACAGGACAAGGAAGTATCTGCAGCCAGGCCATCATGCTCATCACCGATGGGGCGGTGGACACCTATGACACAATCTTTGCAAAATACAATTGGCCAGACCGAAAGGTAAGTTGATGCTGATGCTACCCGTGTAGTGGAGTCTGTGGAGAATCTTTACTGTAACCTCCAGATTGTCCATGGGTAAGTGCTCCATGTAGACTTAACCTCATAATGACCTATGGTTTTTCAGGCTTGAGTTTTTTGGTTGACCAAAACCGAAGACTATGGCTTTCCTTGTTTTCAAAATGAAACTTTTTTGGAGGAGCCGAAAAACCCATAAAGACATATTTGACAAGTTCAGTGAAAAGATCCATTGTGAAATGTGCTTCATCTGTATTGGGCAGTGCTTCCTTTTATTTTAACTTTCCCTGGAGCCCGAGCTGCTTGGTGGGCCCAGCATCTCTAGAATGGGTTCCTGGCATGGCCACCCTGCAGCCATCTCTTTTGTGTATTATGTTTCTATAGTTTCTCCCTGGATCCCATCACCTCCCAGAACCTCTGCACCCCCCAGTGCAGCTCTCCATCATCGTCAAAGTTTGTCTGTTTTCTGTTCTATTTCTTCCTTTGATTTCCAAGTTGGCATTTATTAATCTGATGAACTCATATGTTATGTTAACAAAAACTGACACTAATATTTTTGGCACCTTTTGAGCATCTTAATCCACAGGTTTCTCAAGCTTTTGGCCAGTCTCAGTTCCCTGGGGTGAGTTTTTAAATTATGGATGCCTAGACCCTACACCACTCCTACAGAACCGAAATCTTTCGATGCCAGCTCCTTCCCCTGGTGCTCATCCTTAGAAACAGCCATTGCTGCTGACGCTGGAGGAAAGGCTGGCTGTGCTGGGCTTGCTGAGAGTAGGTGGGACTCTGACATGGCACCTGCCCGAAGGATACCCAGGAATAAATTTGGCTCACCATAAGCATTGAGTTTAGAACCCAACCCTTGAATAAGATGGAGGTTCATTCTTGGACAAGGTGATTTTAGATGCCAGTGGTATTTCAGGTGATAACTTTCAAGGACAGATAGAGGCCTGAGTTAATTCCTGATAAACATGAGATGTAAAGGGAGGGACATGCCAGATGCAGGTGCACCCGTGCGGTACAACCCAGTGCTGGGCCTGTGGTGAGGCCTGTTGCACAGCCCTGTGAAGTGGCTGAGTGACCAAGGGGGCTGGGAGAGAGGCCCCAGAACTAGTAAACATGGGTAGGGCTATGGACATTTTGCAGCCAAATGATGTTCCCAGATGTCATGACATCTCACAGCATGGTGAGGGATATTTTGCGTTATTTAGGACCACAAAAAAAAAAAAAAAAAAAAAAAAAAGGACTGAGGTGAAAGGGACCTTCTAATAAGCAGCTCCAGGAACACCAAATGTTTTATCATGTGAGTTTCACATGTTGGGTTACATGAATCTTTCCCACTTGGTGATACTCAGTGGATAGCAGTTGCCTGAGAATATCGGTATTGAAACATCCTATCCTAACTTATAGAAAAGGGACCTTCTAATAAGCAGCTCCAGGAACACCAAATGTTTTATCATGTGAGTTTCACATATTGGGTTACATGACTCTTTCCCACTTGGTGATACTCAGTGGATAGCAGTTGCCTAAGAATATCGGTATTTAAACATCCTGTCCTAACTTATAGGTAGAGGCATAGGATGAGGGCTGCAAAGTCCTAACTCTTTAAACAAAACTCAAATCTCAGTGTATGTTTTCAGAGGAACGATATTGATCTTAGGCCAGGTTCATTCTTGGATTAATTGGAACCAGGGTCCTGGAAACATCAATGTTACATAAAGCAGTTTTATCTACTTATGCAGAAGCAGACTTTCTTTCTGTAGCAAGAGCGTCTTTTTTATGATTGGAAATTAATAGCAGGCTCCCTTCGCTCCTGCCCCATTCTGGAGAGTTCCACAGCATTCATATACACGTGCATTCTCTTCTTTATGAATGTCCCCATGAGGATGCAGGTAATAAATTCATATAAGATCCCAACATGATTTAGTATTGTAGTAAAGTGAGATGATGTGCAATGTCTAAGCAGTCATCTTTGTTCATTATTTTGAATGTTAGATGTTTAGTAGAGGGTTGTGTTGTGCTGTAGTTAACAATCTTCAGGACTGTAAAAACAGGAAACGGGTTCAGGAGAGAAAAATGATCTTAAGGCTGCAACATGATTCCCATAAAACAGTGGTTCTCAAACTTGAGCGAACCTCAGAATCACCTGGAGGGCTTGTTCCCAGACAGCTTGCTGGGCCCCCCACCTCCAGAACAATAGGTCTGGGTGGGAACAAGGAGTTTGCATTTTACAAGTTCCTGGGTGGTGTTGATGCTGCCGTTGGGGGAACCACACTCCGGGAACTTCTGCCGTAAGAAATAGCCCAAGGAACTCAATTTGGTTACTCCATGGGTCTGCTTCTCTTGCTTCCCTCTGTTTACCTTTATAGGGACCTGTTCCCTCAGTTGAAGCCAGTGCACAGGTGAGTGTTTCTTGGCTCATACTCAGTCTGAAAAACTGTCATTACTGATCCAAATTTTAAACTCTGGAGATATTATATACATTTCTAAGTATTAGTTTCTCTCAAATGGGGTACATTTGGGACTTTGAGGCCTATGTTCCCATATGGCAAAATGGCTGGAGCTGAGAAGTGGCTGCCCTTTCAGGCAGCAGATGCCTGCTCCTCTTGGCCATGTCCACTCCCTGGCGTTTTCTCTCAGCCCTCTTCACCCATATGCTATACCTGCCCGTAGGGGATTGCTGCTCTTGATTGACAGCTACTTGCTGTTTCCCAGGCGTGGTCTGTATTTTCCAGTCTCCGGGGGATTTGTTCCCTTCTCTTGGGTCTGCCTTGAGCCTTCCTTCTTCTCCTGCAGCCCAAGGTCTTCTTGTCCTTGCCTGAGCCCTAAATGCCAAACTCCTGGGAACTGACTTAAGGCAAGCACAGCTTCATGTTCAATTCTATAATTGCTTTGGCCTGTCTTTCATCGTCTTTGTTTGGTGAGTCCCTCATGACCAGATCTCTCCTTCTGAACAATCCCACCACCTTGCACTATATCCAGCCCTGCTGAGAAGTGTGTCACAGGGAGCCTCAGTAGCTCCGTGACTCCTGCCCCTTAGTGCTTATGTCCTGTGTAATCTCTTCACCTTGAGTGTGGGCAAGACCAATGACTTGCTTTTAACCAATAGAATCATGTAAAGATAGAGACTTTTTCTCAAGTCATTTGATTTTTGAGCTAATCAAAAGGGATATTATCTTGGGTGGGACTTATTTAGTTGAAAAGCCTTAAAAGAGGGACTGGGCCCTCCTGGAGGGTAGAGACTCTCCCTGCTGGTGTGATGAAGTAAGAAACTGTTAGGAGTAGCCCATGTAACCAGGGTCTTCAGGCAGCCTCTGGGACCTGAGCATCGCTTCCAGCCAACAGTGAGAAAAAAGCTGGGTCTTATTCTTATAGCCATGAGGAAATGAATTCTGCCAGCAACCTGAGTGAGCTTGGAGGTGGGTTCTTCCCCAGTCAAGCCAGATGTTTTCCAGATGAAACCACAGCCCCGTCAATGCCATGATTGCAGCCTTGTAAGATCATGAGGAGAGGACCCAGTTAGAATGTACCCAGACTCCTGACCCAAAGAAAATGTGAGATAATAAATGTGTGTTGTTTTAAGCCACTCCATTTGTGGTAATTTGTTATGCAGCAATAGAAAACTAATTCAAGAAGCAAAAGGGAGAAAGGAAAGAAAATCACTTATCATAGCATGCTATGAAACATCCTCAGATAAAGTGGCTTAAAATAACAATGATTTATTATTTCTTTTGATTCTGTGGGTTAACTGAGTGGTAGGTCTGCTACACATGGTGTCAGGTGGGGTTGCTGATGAAGCTGCATTCACTTGGGAGCCTGGCTGGGCTGCTTGGCTTCTCCTCCCCATGGGCTCTCTCCCCTCATGGTGTTTCATCCTCTGGCAACACTGTGTGTCCAAGTTCCTCAGTATGGTAGCCTGGACTTCCTTGCAGTGTGGCACCTGCGTTCCAAGAAAGGAAAAGCAGAAGGAAGCGGGGAGAGCAGGCCAGGGGAGCACTTGTGTTGTCTATCACGTAACCAGGGCCTTGCTCAAGGCAACTGCTTAATAATGCATTTTAGGGTGAGTTGGAACAAGGAATGCATTACTGGTGACTTAACTGTGAGTCTTATGAAGGCAGCATCATGATTTTGCCTATGCAATGTGTCCCTTGCCAACATTTCATTTCTGAGAGCAGAAATGAGAAGCTATTTATTCATTTATTGGATGCCATTTACTTTTGCCTAATATCCATTGGTTAGTGGCTTAATGGCAGCCTTTACACACTTGGAATAAAATATGAACTCCTCGGGGCCGGCCCCGTGGCGCACTGGATAGTGCGCCGCTTGGGAAGTGCGGCGGCGCTCCCGTCCGAGGGTTCGGATCCCATGTACAGACCGGTTTCCACTCANAAAAAAAAAAAAAAAAAAAAAATGAACCCCTCAACCTGAAACAGCCTTGTTCCAGGACCCGCTTAAGAAATAGAGCATTTAAATTAGAAAAATGGCTGTGCCCACCATCTATGTTCTGTAGTTGCTCTTCCAAGTGAACTAAAAAATGTCATGGAATTATTTATCATTACCTCCCCCTGATGCACAAGACAGAAAAGTGACAGCTGATAGGTAAGAAAATGATTAATTAAGTGATTTAAAGAAGGGCCTGGCAAACTATGGCCATATGCCATATCTGGCCTATTACCTGCTTTTGTGGCCCTTGAGCTACCAATGTTAATACATTTTCAAATGGTAAAAAAAAAAAAAATAAAGAATATTTCACGACATGAGAAAATTATACGAAATTCAAACTTCAGTGTCCATCAATACAGTATTATTCTAAGACAGACATGTCCATTTGTTTACATACTGTCTGGGGTTGATGGTGGAGTTGAGTAGTTGTGATGGAGACTGAATTTTATGCATTGTCTGAACTCAACAGAAGATGGTCATGGTGATTTCTCCCTACTTTGCCATTGCTGTTTTCTACTTGAACAAACTATATTAGATACATA